TGCTGTCGGGTCCGTGGGATGGCGGGGATTAGCGGGGCGGCTGTCTGCGTGCTGCAGGAAGGGGCCTGCAGGGATGGTGCCGGCAGAGCCGCGGCCGGCGCCGCTTCCCTGGAGCCGGGAGGGTGGCGGGAATGTCGTGGTGACGAGATACCCAAAATCCCAATGGAGAAAAGGGCCGGGAAGGTGGAGGGAGTGCTGTAGGCCTAGGCCTTGGGTGCAGGGAAGGTGTAGGGATGCAGGGATACAGGGAAGGGTTTGGGGATGCAGGATGCCAGGAGGCAGGGAAAGATATGGGGATAAAGGCACGCAGGGATGCAGCAATACAGGGATAAAGAGGTGCAGGGATGCAGGGCAGCAGTTGAGGATACAGGGATACAATTATACAGGGATACGGGGCAGGGTTTGGGGATGCAGGATGCAGGGATGCAAGAACACAGGAATGCAGGGAAGGGTTTGGGGGTGCTAGGAGACAGGGACGCAGGAACACAAGGATACAGGGATAAAGGGATGCAGGGAAGGAATTCAGGACACAGGGATGCAGGAAAAGGTTTGAGGATGCAGGGATTCAGGGATACAGAGATGCAGGGACACAGAGAAACGGGGATGCAGGGAGACAGGGCAGGGATCAGGGACACGGGGTGCCCGTGAGTCGAGCGGCATCGGGTCTCAGCGCGGGGGCGGCCGGGTGCGGAGCGGGTGGGAACTGCCCCGCTCCGCGCAGGCTGAGCAAACACGGCGGATAGCGCTGGGAAAGGCGGCCCCGGCGCCGCCGGCCCCCCCGCCCCGAGCAAACACATCCTGGCACGGAGGGAAGGGACGCGCGTCTGTCACCGCGCGGTGACGCGTCCCCTGCTCGACAGCTGGCGCGTCCCATTCTCCGTGCGTCTTTCTCCGTGCATCTGTTTCTCCAGCCATCTATCTGCCTGCCCAGCTGCCTGAGCAGGTATCCATCCACTCATCCACCCGTCCATCCATCCACTCATCCATCCATCCATCCATCCATCCATCCATCCATCCATCCGTCCATCCATGTATCCAGTCGGACTTCCCTCCTCACACACAAACAACCTGCCATGTAGGCACCCACTGGCGCATCCAGCCATGCACCCACCCACACACCCATCTATACATGCATCCATGCATCCATGCACCCATCCACACATGCATCCACCCGCCCATGCAGCTCTGCACATGTGGATCCATGCACCTATCCATCCGAGTATGCATCCACATGTGCATTCGTACATGCTTCCACCCAAACACGCAATCCATCCATGCAACCATCCACCCACACAGGCATCCATGCACCCACCCCCCATGTGTCCATCCGTGCATCCATCCCCCATCCATACGTGCATCCATGCATCTGTCCATCCACGCACCCAACCAAATGTGCATCCACTCATACATGCACCCATCCATGCATCTGTCCATATGTGCATCCATGCATCTATCCATCGATGGATCCATCCATCGATGCATCCATCCATCCATGCATCCATCCATCCATGCATCCATCCATCTATGCATCCATCCATCCATGCATCCATCCATCCATGCATCCATCCATCCATGCATCCATCCATCCATGCATCCATCCATCCATGCATCCATCCATCCATGCATCCATCCATCCATGCATCCATCCATCCATGCATCCATCCATCTATGCACCTATCCATCCATGCATCCATCCATCCACGCACCCATCCACACATGCATCCACCCTGCTATGTCCCCACCATGTCCCTACGCTAGGAGGGACAAGAGGGCGCATTGCGGCCACCCCTGGGGAGCCGCAGAGATGCCAGCATCCCTGTCCCCATGCTCTGCCCCCCGCTGCTCCCAGTGCCACCATCACCCCCTCACATTTGCACCGTGGGGAGGGTCCAGAGCCACCTGCATCCTGCGGGATGAGCCGGGGAGCGAGGACGGAGCTGCCTCCCACTGCCCCCCCGGCGGGGGCCGCGCGGGCGCCCGGCCCGATGGTGTCATGGAAAATCCGCTCGGCGGCCAAGGGCCCTGTTTGCTCCGAGCGGGAACGGGCCGTTTCGCGCTGCGCCTTGGGGCGCCGCCAGCTCCCGCGGCCGCCCCCTCCCAGCTCCGCCGCTCCGGCCTTTCCTTCCTTCCCTGCTGCCCAGGGGCCTCCTCCAATCCCCCAGGCCGGGATCTGCGGGATTTGGGATGGATGGAGAAGAGGGGGCTGCTCTGGGGGCTGTTGTGCAGGTCGGGAACTCAGGAGAGCAAGGAATGGGAGAGTACGGGCCTCCCGGAGCAACTTTTTCCCAGCCTTTAGTAGACATCGGAGAATCTCGGCAGCCCCCAGCGCCATCCCCGT